CCAACATCTGGTGAAAATTTCATGTCATTAGCACCTCTAGTAATATTTTTACTGAGAAAAATGTTGACGTGTTCAATGCTTATTTATATTCAGACTTCCATTTATTGATGATAAATTCCCCTCACATTCATTAGACCAGAGGAGGAGCAGATCCTGGACCAGTCACCCATCCATCACAGTGACATTTCTCCATTTAATTCATTTAGTCTTTCAAAATATTCAGTGTCCATAGCATCTTTTTATCCACTCGTAGCTAGCCTCTCTGTGCGCCTGATGTATTTCACACCTCACTGTGTTACCCAGAAAAGCTTTACAGCTGTGGAAGCTCCGACCTGTGCGGTAGAGCTGAAGCGCCGTCAAGATCTGAGTGGAGTGCAGTTGCGCTCTGAGAGCCGACACGTCAAAACTTCCACCATCCATCCGTGTGCTCACGCACTGCAGGAATACTGGCTTTGTTCGGCGCATCAGATTTACCAGAGCGTCCTGCAGAAAAAAAAAAGTGTGAGGTAAAAAAAAAAACAGGCACTGAAACTCCTCAGGTTGTAATGACAGCACTGTCTCACTTACTGCTTGTAATTTTACAGCTATACACTGGGAGTGTCTGCGTATGGAAGCCATCCCGCTGCTGAAGGTTTTCCTGATGGTGCTGTTCCTCAGCAGAGCGCGTTGGCAGCTGCCCTCCAGCCCCCCCAGACCTCGACACAGAGGGGTCAGTGACATTCTGGGGGTAAACATGGCCTTCACCTCTCCTCTGAGGAAGACAGAGACAGGAGCTTGTCGTTGTGTGTGAGAGCACAATATGTTTTTAACCAGAAGAAACTGTCATTAATTAGTCTGTATTGAAAGTGAGAGTGGGTGAGAACACAAAAGCACAGGAAAGGGTGGGCTTTTTGAGGCATGGACCTGTGCGGGTCTATGATTAGGGGGTGCATTTAGCTCAAAATGGTGTAAAAGCAGGGGCAGATTAACCATCAGAAGCAGCGGGACATTTCCTGTTCTTGCAGCTTCGCTGAAGCTCCCACAGACTGCGACACACCCCCTCGCCCCCTCCTTTCTTTTTCTGTGACACAGCAGGGTGCACACACACACACACACACACACACACACACACA